GATGGATTAAAACTTCAAAAGCATAACTTTTGCAACCATCCCAGATCATTTATCAGTTGAGGATTACATATGGAAGTTATGTATAAATTCTCATGTACTTCTACATGTCTGTCTTGCCTGTACATGCAAATGATGAAAAAAAAAACAACTTTATTTATTCCCTAGGGGCAATAACCACCTACAAAAAACACTCAAACTCAGTGTCTTTATATCTTTATCTTCTTTTTTAAATAAGCAACTATTTACCGAGTCCTGTACCTGTTTTTAGTGTATTTTATCTTCAAAGCCTTTTATTGTTTTGTTTGTGTATTGTTTTTTTATGGATGTATTGTATTTTCTGCCCTGTGCTGCCTCTTGGCCAGGTCGTTATTGTAAATGAGAATCTGTTCTCAATTAACCTACCTGGTTAAATAAAGGAAAAATAAAATAAATAAAAATAAATAGGTGGGCAAAGCGTGCCCATTAAAAATGACAACGTGCCACCCCAGTGTAACATCACACAACTCCTTTTCCTTTAAATGGATGACCTGTGTGGCGGACTGTCCACAAGAGGGCAGCACAAGGATTTTGCTGCATGTTTTTAAGTCCAGTGAAGGAGTTCATGCCGGAAGAAGATCCACAGTCACCCTGCAGCAGACACACAGCTGACACACGACATTGAGCCTCAGTAAGTAGAACAGCTCGATAGGAGACTAACTGGGAGATTATTTAGTGTCAAGTTTAGTCTGACTCTCTGGTTTGATCTTGATGTTTCTAAACTGCTGAGTCCTTTTCTCCATTCCGTGCAGTTACTGTCAACATCTCTGTCAGCACCAGAGTCTCATTTAAAATCCTACCGTTTAATGTTTGTGCGGTAATTAAACACCCAGACAACCATTATATACACGAGCAGGCTTTTCATGGACTAGTGCAGTATTTGGTATTGGTTCGGCATAACCTTAGTGTTAAACTTCTTAATTGTATTGTAGCTTTTGCAGTTTGGCTGTAGTGAAGATGCTGTCAGTTCTGCAGGCACAACAACGACAGCAAAAAGTGTATAACATCCAAAACTAAGCAATGAAGTAAACGTGATATATCCCGAATAACAGAGTGGACCCTGACAATGTGGAGGAATGTTTTTACTTAGGGTGTGTGTGGTTTGTGCACTGACATAAGTAAGGTATCCTTTAATTTGACGATTTTTTCAAAGGAGTATGGTTTGGTGGGGCTACTAAAGAAATGTCTCAGTTCTTTGAACCTGCTGATGATACACTGTGTTATCACTTTGATAGAGTGCAACTGATGATAAAATTAAGTTGGAATCAACACCTGTTGAGCAGGAGTGTAAAAGCATTATTAAGGAAAATGAAGCGCAGCATAAATAAAAATGCATGTCAAGTAAAATCAGGAAAGGCTGCAAAATGAAAGTATGTTTTCAGAGGAGACTCAAAAGTAACTCAGTTGATTTCCTGATTTCCTCTGGCAGATTGTTCTTGAACATCTGGGCCCTGACTTGCAAACACTTTCCTTTAAAAGGAGCAGTTCTATGCAGCCTATAAATCTTCATATAATCACATCTTTTCCTTTTCCTGCAGGACATGTCTGCAGGCTGTGTGAGGTTTGTGCTAAATCAAGCAGTGAGAACTGTGTGTGGTGGCGGTCCTGTCTGCTGGACACCAGCATCAAGATTTACAATATGTTGTGAAAGATTCAACATCACTGCCGCCTCCTGGAGATGGTCTCCGTTCTCCACGGAAGTACAGGATGCAGAACAGACTCCTGAACCCAAGAAAAAGAAGGGCCCTCGAGCTCACAACTCGATCAGCAGCGTTGGAAGAAAGATCGCCCATCGTCAGTTACAGGTGATTAGCGAGGCCGGTGAGAACCTGGGCACCCTGCATCGTGGAGATGTGATCAGGATGATGGATGAGAAGGGTCTCAAACTGGTGCTACTCAACGAAAACAAAGACCCCCCAGTGTATCAGCTGATGAACGGCAAACAGATCTACGAAGAGCAGCTGAAACGGCGGGAGAAACAGACAGCAAAAGCAGGTATGTGGAGTCCTGGTAGGGACTCAGATCAAAAAAAGAATTAAAAGAAAAATAGATATTCTGTTGGCAATTTGTCTAAAATACAGTGTATTCTCGCTTTAAAAAATAAAAAAATAAAAAAAACAAGTGGTAATTTTACGTTTCCCTTTTATTTTCAATATTTTTTTAAAATACACAAAAATATCAGTAATGTTACAAAAATACACAGTGAAGTCACATGTCTAATGCAAAGTAACATTAAAAACCCTCTCAATTTTGAGCAACTAAATGCCTATTGTTTTTTTGTTTTTTTTACTTTTTTTTGTCATCAAAAAACTCCATATTTGCAAATTTATTGTAATGTCACAAACTTGTTTTTTTTTGTTCAATAGATAAAACTGTGGGATTCAAGTTTACTACTGTAAACATATTTCTAAAGTTAGACGCAATTAGGGACAACACTAAAAAAAAATGCCTGTAAATATCATTCATTAAACACTAGAAAGACAAACAAACAAATAAATAAATAAAGGCAAAGAAATCTATGCCAGGTAAGGAAATTCGTGTATTTTTAGAGATGGTTGTTTTGTGTTATTTGGCAGTATTTGATTAGATTTCCTGCTGCCAGAATATTAGAGTTTTTTTTTTCTAAAAGTATGATGATTGTTTGAGAAGTGATGCTGTGACTAGTTATGTTTTATTAGTTAATGTACAAAAATGTAGTAAACGGAAGGAAAACCTTTGAAAAGAAAAAATTTGTCAAAGATACAACTGCACACATCCAAATCTAATCTAAAGTGATGAAAGCCTTTGCTGTGCTGCACTTGAGGCTTTCTATGTGCTTCTCCTGTCTAGCATGTTGGGAGCAGCTTTGATTGTACACATTATTATTTCAAGACCACTTAGGCTATAAAACTTAGAATATAGAAAAAAAGTCAAGTAAAGAGACTTCTCAAAACAAAGCCCCATTACTTAGCTAGTTAAATCATTAATACCTTTGTATTTTATCTCAGAATTGTCAGTATCACTGTATTAAGCACTAAAGATATAATATGGAGCTGACTACATTCCTTCACAGCTTCTGTGCAGGTGAAGGAGCTCGCCTTTTCACATGGTATTGGACCCCAGGACCTCAGCACCAAGCTGAAACAAGTAGAGAGCTGGCTGGAGAAGAAGCACCATGTGAAGATTACTCTGCAGGCAGCACACAAAGCACCTGCAGTCAACATGGTGAGGAAGACTGCTCTCAAATAGTTTCATCTCTCAAATCAGTACAGTTGTGTGAATCTAAACAAAATATGTGTGGAAATGCGACAGGCTTGTATAAATGACATCATTTATCGACAATGCTTATACAACTTCTCACAGTGGAAGTATATTTAAAAATGGCAGGTAACAACCTTTCATATTCATGGAAAATTGGATGTTGTTGCCTCTGTTGCTAGTTCAGAGATTTTCAGAATCACATAGCAGACTTTTTTTTTCTTTTTCTGGCCTTTCTGCTTCTTTAAAACCTCTGAAACCGTCCAAATATTCTATAAGGTGTTTATGAAGTCAGTGTTATATTTTGCACGTCTACAAGTATGTTGGAGTCTGCGTTGTCTACATTTTGTCACTCTGAAAAAGTCAGCACAGAACACCCTGCAGACATCTGCAAGGTCGCCTGTATACATGTAATACATAGACACGATCTAGTGCACATGATGCAGCAGTGTCCTCTGAGCAGACTCCAAATGGTGTAGAAAGTTGTATAATACCAACAACCGCGCATCGGTGGAGTCTGCAGCTGTCAATCAAAGTTTTAATAAAGTGGCACTTGTGATCGTTGGTGCTCAATTCAGACCTTTGCAGGCCTGATGCCATTTTCTGGATTAGCATAACTTTCTTGTTGGCCATTCTGTCATAAGACACTGCTATGCCCCACTTAACAATGAATGTAAAATGTGTTAATCTGTACATATGTTGTTCCTAATTCTTTACTACTTAGAACAGTAAGAAGTGTTTTTTGTTGTTTTTTTTCTGCAGGACACAGCTCTGGAGCAAATGGTGGAACAAATGGGGATAATGGTGGGATTTGTCTCCCCGCCAAAAGTCATCCGTAATGGTAGAGCAGCCACGTGTATCATCCGACTGCTTTCAGCAAAGGAACTGTCACGACAAAAACAGAACAAGGCCTCAGAGTCGCCGTCTGTCAGCTCTACTTCAAAGGCCTCTCAGAGCGAAACACCCCCTGTTACCAGCACGGACACAGCAGAAGGATCTGCACAGCAGTGATCTGATGGAAATAAAACTTTTTCACAAAAACAAGTTGAAATCTGTGCCTAAATGTCACAGTATGGTTCCTCCATCACACTCTATTTGTAGCGTGAATGTATTTAACGAATAGCGTGTGTGGATCACTGTATGGGCCTGCAGGGGGCTGTGCTGTCTCTGGACCAGAAGTAACTCCTAACATCTCTATGAGGGAAGTTAATCAAATGACTGCAGAATGATGACAAGAAAAGGTACAACAACTAGACAGACACAAAACTACAAATGTAGGCAAACTAACCACAAAAACAACAGATGCAAGCAACTACTAATAGATGCAAAAGTACCTGAAATAGACAAAATGATCACGTAGACAACTATGAAAAGATCGAATGCCTACGAAAAGACAAAATTACCCAAAAAAAAGACACAAATTAACAATACAGACAACTACTGAAAGATAAAACCTCTACAGATATGCAATACGGTCACAAAGAGACACAATGTGAGTGTGGATATTTTGCTTCCATGATCCTGTTGGTGGAGCTGGCTGATGGTTGTCATCAGCTGGATTTAATGACAGGTCAGCAGCAGTGAGTTGGTCTCAGAATGGATGTTGGGTGTCCTTGTTCTACGTTTTTCATTTTATATTTATTATATGCAATTATTTCTGCCAGAAAGGTTGTGATTTAACATAAGCTTAGTATCATAAACTACTTCATAAGGAAAATAAATCTACCACACATTTTTCATTTTTATTCTCTCATTTTACTTGTTTTTCTTACTTTTCCATGACATATCCCATAATAATATGGACTGACACTAAAATATAGTCTTAGAAAACATTTTCCTACAAAGTGTAATGGGAATGTAGTGGTGGTTGTCTGCTCATCAGCAAAGTGCTCTAATTAGTCTGGGACAGTTTGTTTTTTTATTAATTCTTTTCAACCACAATTTAAAAGCAATGTCTTATTTCACTAAATTATAATTTAGCAAATTTTTATTTATTATTACTTTTTTCAGTTTCTAATTATTTAAGTGACTATTGAGAATTTTGCCTTTTCTTTAATGGAATGAATACATTTGAGGACGCCTGTATATTGTCTCTACATAAAAGGCATAAACTACAAATATGAATGCCAAAAAAAAAAACTGAAGCTAAAATAAAATTTACTCCACTTTTTGACCACAACAAGATGCCACAGGAGTGCCTCATGGCTGCTGACCTGTTGTCACAAGGAAATGTGGCCCTACCAGGAGGATCCTAAGGGAGACCTTTTACGTGTTTATCTTCAGAGGCCAGTTGTCTCATATATTTGGCCATAATGAAAGGATGTTTGATTTAAGAAGTGTGAACTGTCCATTAGTTGTTCTTTACAGGAGGCAGAACACTGGAGCTGTCTTTGGTACACAGCATTTAGGAACCACACTTGAACAACTTGCCAGTTCTTGTATTGCAACTATATAAGGATAAATGGTGTGTTGTGGTGTACACGAGTTCTGTAGGTCTCACACACAAAGGACAACATTATTTTGAAGGGAACAGGGGTAAAGTTTTCCAGGTAGAGGGAAAGAGGATGTTGTATAAAAAGCTTCGAACTGTGAGTGAGTCTTGCTGTAAGTGGAGTCAAATAAAGGAACAGAGACTCAAGCTCAACTCTTGTCTCTCTTTTTATCGACTTCCACAGTGTAGCCAAGCTCCAGCTTCCCAAAAGACTGATTATTTGATGTTTGCAAGTCAAATCAGAGGAAAATACTACCATGTTGCTCCTGCCAGCTGTAGCAGCCCATCAGCTCTTAACAACATCAATGATTTTCTGTCACTTTCCACTGCTTAATCTATCTAATCACTGATTTTGCACATCCAATTTGCAATAATTTAGAATTGCTTCACACAGCTGAGGAATACATTGGCTGTTATCATGAAACAGGTATTGAATTACATTCTGTGACTATGAAAAGGTGATGCAGAAACCCAACTTTTGCCCTCATCTTTAAAAAAAAAAAATCTAAAAATTGCACAAACCTCCATCAGAGCTTCAGTGTCACAGATCCTCCATGTCTGTGGAACTCCACTGAATAAACAGCATCCATACTAAAGATAGACCCTCATTTGGTGTTTGATGCTGGCGGTGAAGGTAAGCTCTTCTTGCTCCAATATGTCCTGCAGGTGTCCAGATGGGTTGATTTGGTGGCTACAAAGACGACAGCAAATCATTTCATATACTCAGTGAACCCTTGTGTTCTCTAGATGAGCACATTTCATCCCAGAAGACACCACTCTTATCAGGAGGGAAGGTTTCATTCATCCATCTTGATCCAGATTTGAAGTCAGCTGGGTCTCATCAGCATTCATATGCATGTTACACAGCATTCTCTGATGTTACTTGCTTCATTTTGTCATGCAGTACACCTATATAGAAGCATCTGTCTTGTTTCTCTAATTATTTATTCAGCTTTAACTTTAGACACACATACATTGATGACCCCCAGCAGTGGATCATATTATCAACTTAGATCTACTAAAGAATGGTAGGGTAATAAAGGGGATTTAAATATAATAAATAACCTGATGATCAAATAATGTCAAAACACAAGATACTCTTGTGAAAAAGTGCTTTAGATGTGCGGAACACACGAAACCAGCTCCAGTGTGGATCTTTCTCTGCTTTATTCAAGATTGTTTTTGGTAAAAAATAAAAGCAAATTTGGCATACAGATACATTCACTTGTCACAGATAAATGTGTTTGCTTGACTTAAATGTCAGTTCCACACTTTTATCAACACTTTCCTCTAACAGCAGAGATACTGTCTTGGAACTTTTATTTCTCTTTTAACTAGAGTCATACTTTTCCTATACATAAAAAAAAAAGAAATCAAAAGAGAGAGAACTTAAAAACATAAAACCACCTTAAGGCCCAAAAATAAAAATCTTTCCTAGATTGTGTTAGAAAAAAAATTCGAACAAAAGCAGCTTAACTAGCATGCATGAACAACATTTGTCAATAAGCCTCGAGTACTTTGTAGGAGGAGAAGGGTTTAACAAAGTGATAGTCCAGGTTGCCGCAGTGAGGGCACTGCTGGACGTTGCTGTACTCGGAGAAATACTGCATCCCGACTCGAACGTCCACCACCGGCTTCCCGCAGTGCTTGCAGTTGAGACGGGCCTGAGGACGACAGGACACACAGGACACGGGTCAGCTGACAGGAGGCTCAACCACAGCTGCACAAGGCAAGATTTAACCATCATGACAACTAAAGAGGTCATGAGAACCAATGTTTCGGTACCAAGTTGCTGCTAAATTCTGAAAATGTGATGGTGCTTGTTTTCCTTTTGTACCAAACATGTACTGGAGATATTGGACAGTACCCACAACATGAGAAGAGGCGGCAGCAAGGGCAGCTGCAGCAACAGGTACACTGTGACTTATGGGGAAAAACACACAGAAAGTGGAGATATTTTGTGTATTAAATGGATAAAAAGGGATCAAGTGATACACAACCAAAACTATATATTAACTCAAGGTTGTCACCATACTGTCTGTGACAGCTATTTGCAATAAAAGACTTAAGTATCGAATTTGGTATCAAGATTTGTGTGATTTCAGTTGTGTTGTTATTAGCTAAGGCTGCACAGTGGCTCGCTGGTTAGCCAGAAGATCCTTGGTTCCCGTCCTGGTGAGGACGCCTGGGATCTTTCTGCATGGAGTTTACATGTTCGACCTGTGCAGCGTGGGTTCTCTCCAGGTTCTTCCTCCCACAGTCCTAAAACATGTTGAGGTTAATTGGTGATTCTAAATTGTCCGTAGGTGTGAATGTGAGTGTGCTTGGTTGTCTGTCTCTAAGTGTAGCCCTGTGATAGACTGGTGACCTGTCCAGGGTGTTCCCTGCCTTCACCCTAAGTCAGCTGGGATAGACTCCAGCCCCCCTGTGACCCTTGTGAGGATTGAGCGGTGAATAGATAATGGGTGGATGTTATCAGCTACCAAATTTCTGGTCCTGGGACATCTATATTGACAGCTGCTGTACTTTAACACCTGTGAAACACTACTGGCAGCTACTGCTATGTTGTCAAAATGAATTTGGGAATTACAGCTGTTGAGTCTCTGGTGGTTTCAAAGGTGTGATCAAAATGTTCCCACTGTGCCTGAAAATACAGAACTTCATGTAAATTTGGCCACAGTCCACATCAAAGTGTCAAGCAGCATCTGCGGTGAGCACAGTGATTCTTCTCAGCTGTCTGAAAATGGCAGTCCTTGAACTTGAATTTCACTTTGGGAAAGAGGAAGAAGTTGCAGGGAGAAAAATCTGACAAGCACAGTGGACTGCTATGAATGCATTGTTGGCCAAACAATCTGTGTGTAATCCCAGTTCTGTGAGCAGGCCCACTACATATTGGAGTGCCCGCATGTCATCAGGCCTCAGTACAGGTCGTTTGAGATGAATGTTCTCCATCGGACACCTCAGGATGTTACACTATAACTTTGTCTTGACAGTCCAACACTGGGGGACTAAGTCCCAGTGCACAGCCACGTGAAGGCAGAGGGCAACAACGAGGATGCTCCTGGCGCTCATGACCTAACGCATTTGTCTGGTCTTGGAGACTTCAGCTTTTCCACCGTAAAAACTGCTGTTTCTTCTCTGGGTGGTAGCTCCAGAGCCACCTCTGATCACCAGTGATGACCCTCCACATGAGGGTCATCCCAGCTGCTGACTGACACAGATTATGATGTTTGCTCTCTGATCCAGTTTAAGCATCATGGAGAAATTGCAAATGTGCACCAACCAGTGGCCACAAAAACATGTGTAACACAGGTCCTGGTGGTGACAACGCAGTGACACGTGACATCCTGACTCGTGACAATTACTGCTTGCACATGTTGCGAGTACGTAAATTTGACGTGCTTCTTGCACACGCACCAGGTACAACGCTTTGATCACATCTGGTATTACTAATTCTCTTGCCCACAACAATCTGTAAAGGCAGCACTGACTAATTATCACCTTAGAAAGTTGTTAAGGTGCTAATTAACAAACACCTGATTACACTCTCACTGCTGTGGCTCAGGTGGTAGAGTGGATTGTCCACTAATCGCACGGCTGGCGGTTTCGATCCCCTGCCTCTCCACAGTCAAAGTGTCCTTGGGCAAGACACTGAACCTGCAGTTGCTCCCGATGGCAGGCAGCACCTTGCATGGCAGCTCTCTCGCCATTGGTGTGTGAATGATGTGTGAGAATGGGTGAATGAGAAACCTACTGTAAAGCGCTTTGGATAGAAGCGCTATACAAGTGCAGACCATTTATTTGGTTTTACTGATTATGAACATGTATTGCTCTTACTCTCTCTAAACTGTTACGGCTCCTGTTCTTTAAAATACTGTACTAATTGATGCCCATCACAGTTCAATGTTTCTACCTGACAACAAGGTGAAGCAGCCAGTATATCGTACGTATACATGGTGCCCAGCTGGTGCCAGCTGCCATCCCAGCGTGACTTGCACTTGATGCAGACGATCTTGTGGACGCCTTCTAGACAGTCTACACAGATGGCGTAGAGGTGCATTAACCGGCCTGTCGGAGGAAGAACAAGGGAGAATTAGATCAGGCAAGAAAATAAAGAAAACAACAAATTCTTCAAAGACTAATAAGTTCTTCTGTGTCCACTAATGCAGATTAGAGACCACAGTGGTGCTTAAACTGATGATTATTTTCATCATTAATTAGTCTGATGATAAAGAGATGGATTAAAATGTCGTTTTGTGCAGCTACCAGTCCAAAATCCAAACATGTTTGATATGTTCGGCATTTTCCCTTGATAGATAGCAATTCTTTTTCTGACTAATCAATTAATTAGCTTATCAATGCAGCTCTAGCCCTGAGCAGTGCAGGCAACAGAGCCAGCATGACAGCAACGACAGGCTGATCACAACTGAGAATGCCACATTTCCCTACTGATGTGATTTCATTTCCTGAAACAGTGCTGAGATAAAAACTTCCCCAGCCCTGTGTTAAAAATAAGTAAGACATAAAAAGTAAGTTAAAAAAGGCAGAGCTTGGAATATGATTACATTCATCTCTGTAGGCAGCAACATGTGGTATATCTGTACAATAATCCGTCTAAAGAGGTAGGAAACGTTTTTTTTAAGTTATTTTTTTGGCCTTTGTGCCTTTATTGGATAGAGCAGTGAGAGAGAAACAAGAATGATCTACAAGAAAAGTTTGTCTGATGGAGTATCATTCTGTTTTTTAAGTAAGCACGACATCGAGTTTGTTCCATGTGTGCAGAACACCATCAGTGAGGAACGGGAGAGAGATGCTGAAAAGGAAGAACTGCTTGTAAAAAAGGACACATCAGTTGTAGGGCAGCACAATTACTGAAACTTTAATCATGATCGGGATTTTGGCTTCTCACAATTAGGTCGACTACAATACTGACATTTAAAATGCCCTGCACATAGAAAACAGACCATGCAGATAAAATCACTTCATTTCATCTTGGTGTAAATCTGACATTAGAACATCTTATTTAAGTCTTTTCCAGGAACACTATTATGAGCTGCTGCTCTGCTTTAACTGATGGACACTACGAACTTCTGCAAGCTGAGCCGTCCAGTTTGCTACTACTGTAGCCTGCATGTGAGGGCACGACCCTCAATTATGGTGTCTATTGACAACCAGATATTCAGCAAGTGACAAATTTTGGGTACAGTGTTAGTTATATTTAGCCTCTAGCAGATGCACTGAATTCAGGTGAGGCTTAATTTGCACATTAGCAGGAATGTAACACAACATGGAAGTGAAAATACAATTTTTGCCTTTAAAAATCAATGAGCAATTGTAATAAATAGGTCAATAGTGATTTCAATATTGATGAGATAATTACATCATTTTGTGCAGCCCTGATGTTGACCTTCAACCGTGTCAGCAGTGTCTTGCAATAGCTGCCACTTTCTGAGTCACCACAGCTGATATACTTGATCATTTAAATCAGCACCAAAAAACTAGGATGAGTGTTAAGAAAGATCTGAATAGTATGAAAAAATATGTCTGTTGAGCAACGTTAAGGATGCACTTTAATTTTGTTGGGCCAAAATCGACCTCAAAATACAACTTCTTACCAGAAACTTATTAAGATGCAAATTCACACAGACAAAACTGGTTTAACTGAATCCTTCTTTTACATCTTAATTCGACCACTACTCCTTCGTCAACATTTAAATTCCGTCTGACAGAAAAAAAAAGTGAAAAACCGAATAACTAATCCTCTCATACTGATGCATATCATCGACATACATATCAAAGCTTGCTGGCGAGCACATCAAAGACGCTTCATGCTGCCGCCGTGCTAATTCACATTCATGTTGGACAGTGCAGAAGCCAGCAGAAAGCCTTTCATGTCTATATACACAGTGCGGACTGAGCTGACTGACGGATTGATTTTTCTTTATGTAAGGAAAGCTAACACAGTTTGAACACTTTAGATACAGACTGAATAAATAACTTAGTAGCATCACATGTTAATGGTTAATGTATAATGAGTCATTGTGTAGATTTTTAACGTTTAGTAGCAATTCTGGTATTTCGTGTGCTTTTGTTGCAATGTGTAGTCGTGCAAACCATAATGGTGGCCCTGAGATCCCAACACAATGCAACTTAAGAAGACACATGCAAACAGACAAAAAAACACAACAAAAAAACACCTAATTAACACGTGCAGCATTTATTTAAAAAATGCAAAATCGAAAACACTCTTGCGCTCTCCACCTTTGCCTCCTCACTGGCAGCCATTCCCACTGTATCTGTGTCATTTGCAGACGAATGCAGTCAGACTTTAAGCAGCCCTGCTATGAATACCTCGCTCTGACTTGTTTTGTACCCTCCTATTTACAGTCAGACGGTGATAACTTGCCAGTGGTTCTGTTTCTGACTCCTGCCTCATCAGTTTCTCTCAGCAGACCTCTCCAGCTTCCCTGTTCTCTCGACTCCACTCCTCTGCAAGTTCTCCTTCCCTGCTTGTCCAGCTTTTTTTTGCTGAAGCCCTGGTCTCCAGCTACCTGCCCCAATTCTGGCCCCAGTTCTTCGCCCACCTACCCAAACTCCTCTTCAGCTGCTCCTCCTACGTCCCCAGCTCCTCTTAACATTCACCCAGCCTCCTGTCTCTGTGTTCTGAGTTTGGGTTCACCCACTAACAAACACTGAAACACTCCATGTGTCAGACAACACAACAAAATGAGTTACAAAACCATTCAATTCACTTAATGGAAATGTTATAAATAAGCCCCAGAGGACAAAAGGGGACTGGAGCACAATGATTCATTGACAGCCTTTAACCCTGTGAAACCCACTGAAAGGTTATCTAAGACACTGTGAAATAACAAATCTATGGATTTTCATCTTTCCAACAGTCTACTGAATTTTGCTGCATCCTGATCCTGATGCAAAACAATATGCTTATTAGCAGGCCAGCTGACAGCCTTCCCTGGGTCCGGGACAAGATGATATTAGATAGGGTTATGGTTTTTTCCTTTTCTGAGCACCAGACTTCTGCTGAGCGGACATTTTGGTGCTGAAGTGCAAAATCCGAACTTCCAATAAAAGGACATCAGATTTTGATCAGGGGCCAAACCATTTTATGTTGGAGGTGGGGGTGGAGGGCAATTCCAAAGATATTAAGGACAGTTCAGACGAAAACAAATTAAAACTTCTAACTCAAATATTGCACTGTTTCTTTCCATTAATAGCCCTTCTTTGGGGAAAAAAATCCATAATTCAATGAGGGTCCAGTTCTGGGCCCCCCCTCCACTCTGGGCCGGGACAACAGACCCGTTTGTCCCCCCCTATCGGCGGGCGTGCTTATTAGAGCTGTGTGTGTATAGGTTTTCAGTAGTTTGCAAACAAAAATCTGGAGAAACAAATTACCTGACAGAATTAATTTCCTTTCTTTTTGAGGTTATTAAAAACACACTGTATCAAACAGTTGGTCCAGTCAGCAGTGGTACCAGAACTTAGGATGTATCACCTGGTCTCGTTCAGCAGAAGGAGCTGCCCAGCTGTTGTGTTGTTGTAGGAGTTTAACTTTTCATTTCTTAAAATAGAACAGATGCTAAATGGACTTTGCTGTGGAGCAGGTAAAGAATAAACTTTCTATCTTACTCTCAGATTTCTACTTATTCTCTGTTTCCTCATGTTGTTATTTGTGTTTCTTTATCACTTCGTTCACACAGAATGAGAACGACAAATGAAAATTTCCACAATAGTTTTTTTTTTTTTTTTTTTTTTCCCCCATTTATGAACCTTACAAGTGCAAAACCTCTGCACCATTTGATTCTGTGAGCACAGGTTTTATCCCGTGAGAACCAGGTCTGACCTTGCAGGTGGCAGGGGACATCGTACTCGATCTCATCGTGACGTGATGGGCTGAGAAACAGCGTCCCGTCCACCAGAGGAAACTGTTCAAACACAGGCAGCGTCCGGTGGCACAGCGCACAGTTGACCACGTTTCTCTGGCTCGCACTGAGGGCTGACAGGATAAACCTACAGGACGACACAGACAGAATAAATTCACCACCATGAAGTCGCTCACACTGAGAGGTTCAGGCAGAATTATGTGACATCGTTTTCTCAGGTGTGATGTTAGAAGAACAGTTTTTACACTTTTTTCCCCCCTTATTGGCAACTAATCTCAACCAACACCAACAATAATTGGATCATTAAAAACACATCAGTGAGCTGCTGTTGCACAGTTTGACTGTGATTTTTTTGACTGACACGGGCATTGTAGTTGATTTTAAGGCACTCCCACATAAACCACCCTGCTTCTGCATCACCAGAGCACCAAATCTGCAGCTGAAAATAGTCCCAAACAAATACACAGCTGACTTCTGTTTGAATAGAACTGACTATTAAACACAGTGTCCAGGAGGTAGGTACACCGATCAGCCATAACATTCAAACTACTGACAGGTGACATGGATAACACTGATCATCTCTTTACACCTATCAAGAGGTGGGACACATTAGGCAGCATGTGAACAGTCAGTTTTTGAAGTTGGTGTGTGCAGATAAAATGGACAGCATGAGAAATTGGCAGACTTTGACAAAGACCAAACTGTCAAAAAATCTGAAAGCCAGCAGGTCCTGTGGGATGTTGCTGGTATGCAGTAATTTGTAAACACAAAAAGTGGTCCAAGCAAGAACACCCGGTGACCACCTAAAGCTCACTGATGTGTGTGGGGAGTAAAGGCTGACCTGTATGTATGCATAGAGCCCACAGAAGAGCTACTGTAGCAGAAATGGCTGATTCATGTTGCTATAAGGTGTCAGAACACACAGTGCATCACACTGCAGAGCAGCAGACGGGTCACAGTGTCCATGCTGATCCCTATCCCCTGCTGAAAGCTCCAAAAAATGGCTACATAGGCAACAGAACTGGAACAACGGTAGAAGCTGACCTGGTCTGCTCAATCACATTTGCTTTCACAGTCTGTGTGTGTCGTTTACCTGTGGAAGGGACGGTAGCAGGATGCACTATGGGGAGAAGGTGTACACTGTTGCAGACTAAGTACACCCGTTCAATGCAACAGTATTTGATGATTTCCTGTTTTAGCCTGAAAATGCTACAGCTTTGAGAACACATCAAAGTGTTGACTCGGCCTCCGACATCCTCAAATCTGAATTCAGTCGAGCATCTGTCTGATGTGCTGGTAAGTTCAGTTCATGGAGGCGCAGCTATGAGTTCCAATACTTAAAGGATCTGCTGCCAACATCTGCTGCCAACATCTTGGTGCCTGAAACCCCAAGACACCTTCAGAGGCCTGCACAGTCTAGGCCTGGATGAGACGGAGCTGATTTGGTAGCCTGAGGGAGAACTACACCATGTTATGCAGGGGGTTTTAATGTTGTGGCATACAGTATATAACTGTATCTTGCTTTCACGGATTTATGTCTTCTGATGGAACAACACACACAAACACGCACGCACACAGAAAGCAAGTGTTGATACTGTAGTATTGTTTAGGATCGGCTGTCGGTAACACAATTATAGCATTTTTCTAGCCTTATTCATAAATCCATCCAAACTGTGTCCTCTAATTATTCCTATTTTCACCTGAAGATAGAGAATTTACTTTAATACAAGTTTGTGCACAACAATTAATTTTCTGTTTGCCAACTTTTATTTTCTTCACTTCAGTGTTCTGTGTCAGTTCACAGTCTTCATGAGCACAGAATGTATATATATAATGTTATAATTATCTCACATCAGATATTAAACAAGATAAACTGTTACGAAAGGGCCTTGGATAATTTGGGCTTTATTCGGTTTCCAGTAAATAGTTTTAGTGTGTCATGATGGTTTAAATGGTATTTCTGGCTTAAACTCTGGGAAAGCTAATTATGTTAAATGGTGATTGTTTTCTATAATAAATTAAACTTAAAATCTGTCACCAAGCAAACTTGAGTTCACAGCATTTGTTTTCAATTTTGGAGAAAAAAAACAGTGATGGATAAAAGTTGAGAAAAGTGAGGCAGAATTCTGCCAACAAGATTTGATAACGGCTGTTGAAATCGCTGAAATAAGCTGGAATAAAACTCTAAATGAACAGCTGCTGGAGACTGTTCATTATCTTAAAATTAGAGCTGAAAAAGGCTGTAATGAACAAAATAAAGCTGATTTTTTTTGTCAGTCATTAAGGTTCATTGAATGGTGATTACAAGAGATTTTAATAATCTAATAGGAAATGAAGTTATTTAACCAAAGATGACCACAGGTTGAGATTTAGAGGAGTTTTCACTCACAGAGTGACAAAACTTTAATGGAGCTTTTTCTACTTTTCTCTGAATATAAACAGGGTGGTTTTCCTAAAATACGGACAATTCTTTTATATATTATTAAACAAATGTTGCTAATAAACGTTTTATGGTCAGAGGTGATATTTGACTCTAAGCATGTTAATGTTAACCTATTATCATGTGACTAAAAGTCTTTACTTACTTGCTCGCATTTGGTATTGCAGCGTCAGCTTTAAATTCAAAATGTTCCTCATGTATGTGTGACTGTGACAACCTGCTCTCTGTTTACATGCAGTCTGTGCTTTCTCATTCTCCACACTCATAACAAAGACAGGACCAGTCATGTTTTACGCATTTTTACACTGTGTTAGTTTAACTCTGTATGTTTGAGCTGAACAGTAAATATGTCACATATTTTCACATCACTTATTATTGCATTTTGATGTTTATCACATCACAATATTTTCAACGATCACAAACGTCTTGTTGATCAAACTGTGCAGTTCTGACATGAAAAATAATGTCAGAGCACATCAGGACCGACATTCATTCTGACAGTTTATTTCATTACAGCACTAGCTGTGCATACGAGACTACATTTCCCAGAAGCCCTACCTCCGCAGCTCCTCTCCCTGGCCTGCCTGGGCGTCATCTTCCATGCGGACGTGGTAGGTGTTGAGTTTATGACGAGGGATGTGGGTGAGGAGCTCCGAGAGGTCCAGCCTCCTCAGGAACTGCACCGGGTGAGGATGGGTGCCGTCACCCACGCTGCCGGAGGTGAGCCGGTGGTGAAGCGGGAGGGCGAAGGACAGCTGCAGGGGAAGGACAGACCCCGGGTCGAGGTGAGGACCACCAGCTGCTCCGCCAGAGGCTCCCAAGGAGCAGCCGCCGCCCCGACTGAGAGCTCCTCCCACCAGCAGGTGTTTCCTCTGCGGGTCCATGTGGACGGCTGATTTGAGGAACTCTCCCAGCTGACGAGACCCCCGGAGACCTGCTCCTCCCCCTGCTGAGCCGAGGGCAGCAGTGGGGGAGAAGGTGAAGCCGGAAGGAGGGGACTGTCCCGGGGAATCGCACGGAGATTTCTGAGGAGGCCCCAGAGGAAAAGGCCCTCCTGCGGCGAGTCCTCCTACTGCTGCTGCTGCTCCTCTCTCTGTAGAGTTCTGTCGGTCCATTGATTGTCTACGAGGTAACTCCTGACTAGAGGCCCTGTGAGCTAGTTTCCCTCCCACTGCTCCTCCTGGTGGCTTGCTTTTCTTGGGATCCTCAAAAAGCCCATCCCCAGGCCCCGCAGCCCCTCCACTGGACCCGGTCCTACCCGTGCTCCTCTCCGACGGCTTCTTCTTGCGCTCATCCTGCATGCGCTTCACCTGATACCAGTCGGTGTCTTTCTTCAGGTGACCCTGACCGCAGCGGCAGGAGCAGAACCTGAAGGCCAAGTCGTAGCCCTTCTTGGTCCACATGTTCTGCCGGCACTGCTTCTCGTTCCAGGACCGCGCACGGCCGATGCAGTTGAACTGGACCAGGATGGAGCTCTCCCACTCGTAGAAGCACTGAAGATGCATCCAGTTGCCGTAGGGACAGAGCTCGTTGTTGCAGAGCACCCGCTGGTAGTCGTCCTTCTCCAGGTCGATGGCCCGGCCCAAGCTGCAGCCCAGAGGGGTCGCACACTGGACCTCTAAGTGAGCAGAGGAGAGGACAGAGATGATTCTGTTGTGTTCTCAGCAGTTTTTATTCACAATTCAATCCACCTGTGTAAAATCTCACTAACTCTATGGCTGCAACCTTTTTGATGATCTAACAGACATTTGGTTTATACATTTACTCGAAGACGTTCATATTGACTAGTCTCTCAGAGCAACAGTGTAAAACACAACATAAAACATTTCTTTATCTACTTCTTACGTAACTGTTTTATTACATTGCCAAAAATTCCGAAACTATCTCCAACATTTTCCTAGAGTCCAATAGACGTCGATAAATGTCGTTTTTCCAACACGGAAAAAGTGTTTGTTTTCTTGCACTCATTCATTTTACTCAAAATATGAGCTCACAGGCCAGTCAGAGAATCATTCTTACAATGTTTTCAACCCCCTTCACATATATATTTTAGTGCTGAAAATGATCAATCAATAAATATTCCATTTAAATAAAATGTCACAAGGTGTGCCCATTACCATCTTCCTCAGCCCAAAGTTTCCGTGAGTGCAACTGTACTGTCCCAGCTTAAGTGAAAGCAACTTGAGATGAAGCAATAGCTATGCCTCGGTATTGCGTCATCACACGTTGCTTTCAATTGCAATTTGGCAGCGAGTTGTCCAAGTTTATTCAATGAAACTCCAATGTCCAAGTTTCAATAGCGTGCCAGTGCAAGTGAAAGCCACATGAGATGACACAACAGCTATGCCTTGGTATTTCATGGATGGGGTGCACACCCGACTGGCATCATACAGCACAAAAGATAAAACTTGTGCCTTTGGTTGAAGAAGAAGACCTCAAAGACCTGCAAAATCACAAAACTTATTTCCTGGTTTTTGCACTGAAACTTCCAGGTGTTCACGGGAATCTTTCCTCTGAGTTTAATAAATACCTGAAGCACGTGCACATGGAAAAAAAAACAGCAGAAATGAATTTTATTACTTAGAATCCTAGATGATCTGTAATCAGTCAGAATCAGTCAAGATCTTACAATAAGTTGACTTTTGTCATGTCAGACAAGTGAGCTGTCACATGCAGTTTGCAAGCTGCAGTTGAATCAGATCCATTTGCTGAAGTCTACGCGCGACCCTAATGAGGATTAAGCGGTGTATAGATAATGGATGGATGGATATTTGCAGCAGTGACATTACAGTGCATATGAATACGTTGTAGAGTGTAACCTCTCTAATCAATAAATATACGGCATGGTGTACCATGTGTGTACAATACGATGAACAAAATCACATTGTTGAAATCATATACAAAGTATGAATGAACTTTTTCCCCACAAATACAAAGCAACATCACTTCTTCTGGACTGTTTTAAAACTAGCAACTAAAATGTTAATTGTATTACTCTATGTATAATGAGTAACATCAAATAAGAAACCACAGGATGCCATTCCTTAAGTCTCATTCACAGGCTAGTTTTTCAGTAGCCTATAAACTACAACTGCATAAAAGAATTCCAGCCATGACTTCTGTATTTGTTGTTGCCACCTGAAAATGTTCAGTGGCCCCATCTGGTCACTCCTGTGAAAACTGTCTGGGGGCATCAGTGATATAAAAAAGAGCCTCATATTGGAGAAGCTGAAAAAAATAAGCTTTTTTTTTTTTTTTTTTTTTAATTATTAAAGCTTTAATTCATGAATCAGTTGTCAAACATATTGGGTAGACTTACACCCATACAGCATCACAAAACAATCAATAGTTCCATTAAAGCTGTCTCTCCATCATCAGCAGTGTAATTAACGATTATTTGCTGCTTATTTTTACAAGTCTGAGGTGAAAGCTTCAGATTCCTTGTTTAGTCTATAAATGTCTAGAGGCCAAAGTTATAATGGTAGAAGTAAATCAGAGAAGCTGTAGAGTTTCAGCTTCTTATAATGAGAAACATTTTCAATGACTTACATTTTTAGAAACTGAATATCTTATTGTTTTTAAACAATTCATGTGTGTCCCTTTATGTTTTCTTCTCTTTTTTTGCATTTTGACATTTCCAATCTGCAAATGAACCACGAGGCTCAGCTGTAAAACGTCTATCAATGTTCCCGCTGAGCAACTAATGGCAATAATGGATTCATATCTTCAGTACTAAAGCATTTCGGGTGACATTATATCTCTGCACGGCGCTGTAATGAAATGGACAACTGTGCCTTTAAAGCACTCGCTCCATCATAGGCTTCATTACAACAAATGCAACACGAGGTGAAAATGTTAAAAGAGTGATTTTGGTGTCGTCGCAGCCTCATCGGCATCTATTTATGAATTTCAACTAGGCCATCCGAGCCTGAGAGCAGCTCTATTCAAGCTCTGCCAATTGTCAAGTCTGGATGTGAATCAAGCAAATGTGGGCACACAGTGTCTGTGAGGAGTAGCTCATGATAATGCACTGTGGGTGTGTGGGGGGGAGTTTCCTCCTTCCTTTTCCGGTAAACTGTCACTGATTTCCTCTCTCTCTTTCTTTCTAGCTCTTCACATGGCAGACAAAAATACAATTATCTGTGCTTTTTATAACCCAGTGCAACATTTTAGAGGTAATAACGTGGTACACTGGGTCAAACTTCTGCAAACTTCAACAATCAGAACAACACTTCATAGAGAAATTCTATAACTTTTACTCAGATTTATTTATTTCACTGTTCTAAAAAACACATTTTAAATAGGGCTGTGACTACATATTATTGCTGGTTGTTTTCTTGATTAACTGTTGGGTCATATAATGTTAAATGATTGCAAAAAAAATGTACCTGGAGCCATCTTATGTTGCTTCATTGACTCATTGACTCATTTCAGTACTTCTTTGTAGCAGCTGTTTGTCACTACCAGTGCTGACGTGATGAACACTGGGTGCACATTCTGGTCAGATGACACCAAGATGCATTTGTTCAGCTCAGCGTGTTTGATGTGAACCTAACCAGGACTTCCACAGTGAATGTATAGTCCTGACAGTGAAGCATAGAGGTGGGGAGTGTGATGACGTGGGACTGCATGAGTGCCAAAGGTGTCAGGGACGTGATATTTATAGATGACACCATGAATGTCTGTGGATATACCAAAACACTGATGACTCCCAGTCTGCAGAAGCGTAGCAGAGGATGAATATTCCAGCAGGATAACGGTCCAAAGCACACTGCCAAAATCACTCGAGAGATTTCTAAAGGAGAACAAAGTGAAAACTATGACCTGGTCAAGAATGTCGCCTGACTTGAGTCCAACAGAACACATTTGTTGCATTGAGTTTCTACTGTAGGGCCTGTGTTTTTTAACATAGTAAATCTAAACTGTTAGTTTTCAACTTGACATAAGTGAAAATAGAAGTCATGTAATTACTGTAAGGTGAAGAAGTTAGAATCATTGGATCTTCAAGTTATACTGCAAAGAAGGTGTACTCACATCTCTTGTATACTGTCTGTATACATTTAATTTGTATTATTTTCATCAGTGTGTACCTAACTTACAGCATCTTCAATTCCTTTATTAAATTCAACAGTAAAAAAAATAGAAAAGTGAACTGATTTGTGCTTTCTTACTTTGAAAAATGACCCCAGTTAAAGCAGGTCTTCAGAGACTCTATTCACTCATATATGATATATTGCACTGGTGATGCATGAAGATGAAGAATGGATTGCGCACTGACACGGTTCTCCAAACTTTCTGTTCGAGCACGTTTGCATTGTTTTCCAGAGTGCATGCAGCCCAGCAGACTGGAAGTGTGTTTGAGATGAAGTTGAACTTGAGTGCGCTCACAAGCGGTGAGTTGTCAGTATTACCCTTGAGGAGGAAGGCCACAGCCGACAACTGTGGACAAGGTGCGCGTCAGGAAAAGACAGCTGAGGCCTGCAGGAGAGCCTGCACACAGACTGGAGCGGCCATCGATCACAAACAGAAAGACGCTCAAAGTAGGGCCCGCGATGTGCCATTAAGACTTCGTGTGGCTACTTTTGACAGCGAGCCGTGCTATTTTCAAAGGTGACAATTCTCTTTATCTAGGTGAGTTCGAGGCGCCATACTCCATTCATAAATCCCACAAATTAAGGATTCCTTCCTCGCCATCTTCTCCTGAAACAAGCAATAACATGACTGAAGCCGACTTACGAAACACCAACACCCGCTGTCAAGTTCGGCTCACATCCAGCACACCAAGCAACACCTACTTCCATAATATGTCCACTGCTTCGCCTGCTGTTCCACTGCTTTCATGCACCAAAACAATCCCCAGGGGGCTTTAAAAAAAAAATCAGTGTCACTAACTAAGAAGCAGTTGAGAAATAGCCAGTTGCTAGATCCTGCACACGCAAAAAAAGATTCACTCCATTTACGCAAGGCCTTAAATCGTGGTCGATCAGCGGAGCCTATATGTGCCAATAACCGAGGAGCCATTAAATGCCAGAATTTTGAATCGAAGTTTGGCACGTCGCTGGCTCCGTGTGGGAGAGGAGTGGAGGGGAGGGGGGGGAGGGTCGAAACATTTGCAGTGCATGTATGTGACAGTCGTGCAGACGGACGGGAGTGTGAGGAAGGCAGCATCACCAAACTTCCCTACATCTGTGAAGGTTTCCTCTCTTACCACTCGAGCGCTCGGTCCTGGGTGCAGCCGCCGCAGCTGCGCCTCCTGTTGCGGCCGCACAGGCTCCATTTTCCTGCTCATCTCCGCTACTGTTGGTGCGTTTGCTTTTCTTTCCCTTGTTGCTCTTCTGGTTGGGCATTTTACAGGATTCGGATGTCAGTTATTTTCGACCTCTATCAACGGCTCCTGTCAGCGCTGTCTGACATTTCCGAGGACTCCATGTTAGCGGCGCTGCAGCGCGGACGCTCTTTGTGCTGCCGCCTTCGGGCTCCTCGTGGACGACGGGCTGCTTTCGTGCAGCAGCTATAAGAAATAAGCTGCTATAACCTTTAAGATGAAGGCGTGTCCGAGTCTTGTTTTGATTCCTGCTGCTGTTTTCTTCCACCCCCTGACGTCACGGGCCCGCCCCCCAGCATTGGCTGTCAACGACTTGTGCTGCATTCGGGGCCCGTGGGAATGCTCGGAATTTGTCCACTAAGAAAAGTCCTTGTCAAAGTTAGGCCAGTCAGGTAAGATTATGGTACAATAACCTGAAACGTTATAGGGGCAACGTGTCTGAAACGTTCCCGAAACATTTGTGTGTTTTTAGTCCCTAGCAGGTTAGTTAACTCAAGGTTTTTTTTTGTTTTGTTTTTTTAATTTGACCTTTATTTTACTAGGTAAAAATCTTTGAGTTCCCATTTGCAAGCATCACCTGGTCAAGAGGCGCCAGCAGAAACAAATACTCATGTAAATTACAGACACAGACAGACACATAAGCATAACATAGAACAAAAGTAAACTGTAAGAAGCATGGGGACATATGCATGTGAGTGAAAAAGATGTGCATGAGGTGTAAGAAAATGTGTGCTTATATATAAGTATGCAAGTAAACTCCGGCGTGATCAGCAGGAGCAACAGTCAACTACAATCTGTTGGATTTTCAGCTTGAAGGTGGTGCGTGGAGTTAGAGTTGCAAGTTTGAGATTGTTTTGTAAGGTTTTGCAGTCGTTAGCTGCTGCAAAGTGAAAGAAGTTACGGCCAAAAGTAGTAGAGGTATTGGGGATGATGAGCTTGATGTATTCACTAGACCAAGTATGATAAGGATTATGGGCGACGTGAAGAAGAGAGGACAGGTAGGGAGGTGTCTTGGCCAGAATTGATTTGTAAATGAAATGAAACCAGTGGTGAAGCC